CTTCCTCCCTGTATTTCCTGTTTAGGCAAGCTGTTGCCACTCTGGTTTCCAACCTGTTAACATTACATTTGCATTACCCCTGCAAAACCTCCACGTCCAACAATTTTACCCAACTCGTCAGTCAGTAGTGGCTTGCCCTTAACATAGGACAACACCAGGCAAAAGGAGAAAGAATAAAGAGCGTATAACAATTGCTTATCTTGTGTCTTTTCAGCTCAGCCTGGAAAATTTGAGTTGCCATTTCAGGCAGCTCCAGCTCTGTCTTAGGGACCTGTGATCCACCTTGTATTGCTAAACTGAAAGAGGCCACAATTAGATCCCAAACAGGTGATTTGGGAGAAGCACATTAGGGAGTCCCAGTTTAGAAATGGTTGACAAAGTCAGTGCCAGAAACAATTACTGTGTGCTGCTCTCATCTACTCTAGTCTGAGTTTCACAGAGGAAAAATGCTGAATTTCTATGAATACCTATCAACTGACAGCTGCCTAGAAAATTGCTCTTTGTCATGAAAGTATTAAACTGATCTTTTCAGTTATTAGTTTTTGACTATATGTCTAGAGGGAATTACATTCTCTTTTTGATTCATTCTGAATGAGTCTTATGTGATCAGATTTTTTATGTTTTCATTAGTCCTCATCCCCCAGCTCTCCTGAACCCTTTATCCAGTTTAAACCCAAGGTATGATAAACTTGGTAAAAGGCCAATACATTTGATGAAAATGTGCAGCATGGTACAAGGGAGATCCAAAGGACTGCCCTCTGTATGAACAAGTTTGTAGTGTAAATTCAACTACATTGTTAAACATCATAGGATTAATTCAAGAGAGTGACATTTTAGGTGAAAGCTACAACAAAAATTCATAGAATACTACCCTCATGGAATGTTGTCCACCTCTCCCATCTAGTGGGCCCATTTTTATGGTTATCAATGAAAAGGCATGAAGGGATCAGTTTAGATGTATGTGGGTTTGTAAGTAATATACTTAATTGCATTTCTTCTACTTTTCAAAATGTAAGGAAAATTTTCTAAGCTGTGATAATGCAAGGGCAAATATATCTATGCCAGTCAGATAGCAACTGTCTTCTGTGTAAAGGTTGGTGGAGTTTTCCTGGTCTCCGTTTCCCCAGTTATCCCATCTAAGCCCATTTCTTATTCTGTAGGGGCCAGGGTTAGGACCTCTTATTACTATCTTCATTTCCTATCAGAAAATTCAAAGTTGAGAGATCATTTGCAAAAGAAACTGTCATAGCTCTTCAGCCTTGAACTTCTTACTGAATCAAGCATAAGAGGGATTAGTTTCCATGCAGACTGCAGTTTGTTCCCTGAAGATTTCTGTAGTTTTTCTACAAAAATTTGAACTTACAAAAACGAAAAAAAAAAAAAAAAGGAGAGAAGGAGGAAGAATTAGAAGAACTGTATATCTTCTAATCCTCTAGCAAAAAGATCTGTCTCACTGAACTTGGAGCAAGACCATACATAAACTATGTAGTGGAATACAGTAAAATACTGTTCCGGTTTGCAATGTAGATGGAACTAAGGTTTTGATGAGAAGCCTGATGAAGATATCTTTTAGGACAAAGGATAGAAGAATTTGACCCTAATACAATTACAGAAGTTATGTTCAAATGCTGTTTCAAATGTAATTAGGTTCGTGCTAATCCCATCTAGCTACATGTACAGTATGTGTTAACAGAATGTTAATAAAATGAAGCCTGGAGTTACCAATGAAATATTTTACTCTTTTAATCAGAGGAAGAAAAAGAGACTTTCGTTTGTATATGCTTGTCTTTCCAATTACTTGGAAGGCAGTCAGCAAATACTCTACTGTAGGTCATAGAAGCACACAGAGACTTCACACATAGATGGAGACTATTTTTAGCATGTTTCTTACAGGACTAACAAATCGCTTTAGTTTTCATTATCCATTCCAGGGAGGCTCTGAGGTTTAAATTATTCTGCATTGAAACTAGAATTTGAACCTTTTTTTCATATGATAATTGGATGAGTATCTAGCTATGCCATTCTTCAGCAACCGCATTGTTATCATGTGCAGTGCCCTCCCACTTCGTTACCCAAGGTCATCTTTCTCTTTTCCCGTGCACAGTAACAGCATCCAGAAACTCTTAGCATCTATGCTGGAAAGGTATGTACTACAGTCTAGAGAAGTGTTTGAGAGTTACCTTCTTTTGTATTCTCAACAGATCTATGAGGTAGTCTGAAGTAATGTTGCCTTCTGCTTTCCTAACACAAAGAGCAGATGAATATCAGTAACTGAACAGAGGAGAGTGAAAAACTGAAGATAAGGATAAAGTCTGATGTTCTCTTACCAGGATGCAACAATTATGCAGCTCTGCAACTGTAACAGCACTGGGCAGTACCAGTAGAGTCTATAGACTCTGTGGCACCTCTCAGAAGTGAAGGTCTGTAGAATACCACAGGGAAGAACAGAAGTCACAGAGGAATTGAGCAATGTCCATCCCCTGCGTTAAGAAAGTGGATAAGGTAATATGCTGGTGGACCATATTCTTTGTCTCCTATGACTCTTACAAGACAACATGGCCTAGGAAACTATAGTACTGTTTCAGATTGCTTCAACCCCACCCAACCCCTCCTACCCCCCCATGCAGCTGGTACAAAAACCGGTGTGGGAAGGAGTAAGAAGGGCAGCAGATACAGGTGGGAAAGGCGGCATTTTGTTCCTTTCAGCTCCCAGCAGGTTTGTTGTAGAGCCCCGCTAGCCCTAGGGACGTCTCAATGAAGGCATGTGATGGTGTCTATAAGGAAAGGGATCGGTGTATGCAAGCAAGAGACTGAAGAGGTACCGGGCACCGCTGCCTGCTATACAGCATGGATACCCTTTGAAAAGCCCTAGGAAAAACCACCTGGTGACCTGCTGCAGCTGATGCAGGTCCACTACAGGAACATGGGGTGGCTCTGGAGACCAGCTCCTCAGACCGGAGAGGCATCCCTCAGCACCACAGATTCCCAGGAATGCACAGGGACTGGCCGTTGGCATCCTCTTACTCAAACACGAGATCAGGGGATTCACCTGAGGTTCTAAGTCCTCTGGTTAATCCTAGTGGGATTTCAGCATGGGAACGAGGTATATTAAATAATTTACCTATGATACATCTTGGCACTGTTCCCTCACTGCACAAGGATGAGTCAGAGGAGCTATATGAAATCCTAAAACATTCAAGGAACCTGCAATTCCTTAGCTTTTACACCTTGTAGTAATCAGCTGTAAGGGTCCTCCTTCAAGGAGTAGGAATGAGTGTTATTTACAGGTCCTGGCTGACAGTTTTCAGTGACCAAGTTCACTGTGCTTCTGGAATTTTTATAAAAGGTAATGGAGAGAGACTTGCAACATAGCTGTCCTGTTTAGAAACCACACAGATTACACGATCAGACAACTTTGCTTTTGTTTTTGTCACTTAAGTTTTTAAGAAAGTGACAGAAAAATCCATTTTTGTTTTTCGATTAAAAGACTGAGTAGCGATTAGACTGGGTGACTCTGATAGGCCTTGTTGACCGATTAGTACCGGTTTAGATAATCTACAAATTCAACTTACGAAAACTTAGCCAATTTCTGTACGCACAGGCTTGCTCCTAACTTTTCAGCTATGGGGTTTAAACCAGAAGAAGAAAATAGCTGCAACTGAACTTCAGGTATAATTAAAAAATTGAACTAGTGCAAACCTTCGTGCTGTCAACAACAGCTTTCATTTTAAGCCACGCTTATCTGAGCCTACTCTAAGTCTCCAAGGAAGGGGTATTGGCGTGCACACGTATTAATGAAACGAACTGAAAGTGCCTTTCAGGCAGTTTTAGCTGAACGGGGTTAACCTCCCGCACAGACACTTCCCCAGAGTCAAACTGACCCTGTGGTGAGTGATTTTGCTTCCAAACTAGTGACGCGACCGCTCCTCCGGCCACCCCGCTGCCAAGCGGGACGAGGAGCCGGCAGACAAAGGGGAAGCGCTGCCCGCGGCGGTCCCGCCTTTCCCAGCCGGCAGGATCGACCCGTGCTCCCGTAGAGCGGCTCACGCCCCCC